CATCCCAAAGGTTCTAAGTGTATAGAAGTGCTGCACGTTGACGTGTTTAACTCTTGGACAGCTGAAGGTAGGTTTCCGTATACCGAGAATGATCCCCCAACCGCCCATCATCGGGCAACCTTTGTCCACATAGTCGCTACACAATTTGAGAAGATGTATATAAGAAGAGGGGGTGCTGTTACAATATGGTCCTGTCTGGTGCCTGCCCTGTGTGGTGCCCGTCCTGTCCTGTCTGGTGCCCGTCCTGTCCAATGCCCATTTCATTATATTTACCTTGATCCACTGTTTCCTCTCATCTCACCATGCATCAACCTGTCATGACTTTTTTCAGTTTTGTCAGAGCACGAACTAACATGAAAACACTGCATTTACCGCTAGTGAGCGTTAAAAAATGTATTTCTCAATTTAATGACGATGGAAATGGTCTGAATGCTTTCTTTCCCGTGCAGCTCCTGACGATGGTAGTATTCACAGTGGCATCAACAAGTTTAAGTTCTCTCTTCAGATCCCTGAAAATGCAAGGGCGACAACCTTGGACAGCTGCGTCAGTGTCCTCTATTGCATACTAGTGGAGTTTGTGCCGCCAGATAAGTGAGTTCATCCACACACAAACAAAAAAAAATTCAAATCGAAAACTTTGGACAAATACACCGAATTAATTCACTGCTTTGAGAGAAAGCCTTGGGGTTAAGATGAATGTTAATATATCTCACAATTTCAATTTTGTTTTTCACTTTCAGCCACGAGTACAAGAAAATCATGGCTTTTGGTGGTTACGTGAAGATTCGTAGTCACCCCTACATTGAAGAACGAATTCTACATGTGAGTTTCATTTTAGTTGTCTGTTGTTGCAGTAAAGACGAAAATGCTATCGTGCGTAGCGTCCTGTGACATGGGTGAGGCAAAAAAAGGGGGGGGGGATATGACCGCCCTGGGCCGCAATATTTACGTTTAAATAAAAAGGTATATATGTGTTTTTGCGTTGGGTGCACTTTTTGGGAATTCGTCCCCGGTGATATTTAAGGTACGCCATTGGGATGAAGAACTGTTATATACAATAAATTTCATGAAAATCAAACTTTACCGTCAGGTTTTTTTAAGGTTATATGCATTTTTTTAAAAGTATTATTGTACTTGCTTGTATAAAGCTAGTTTATTAAGTTGACTAAATTATTTGTTTAATATGGTCACGCTTGGGCCAATGAACCTAATTATTTTCACTGCGGTAAACAGGGCCAAAAGTCGTGTACAGAAGTTCTCGAGGTCTTTGGGAAGGATGGAGCCTTAAAGGGCAAACTGCACGTGGAGGTCCAGTTGCCTGCTCAGGGGGCTGTATTCAACACGGGGCAGAGGGTCAACATTGACGTGACGATCACACAGCAGTACTTCTCTGGCTGTTATAAGCTGGAGGAGATCTTCCCTGTCCTGGTTCAGGTTAGTCCAAATGACGGGCTGTGTATGAACAAGTCTCAACTATGAATGCCCGGTATGAAACCATTGAGACAAACTGGTTTCTCTTTATGACGCCCGGTAGCTCTTTGACCCCAGGCTGATCTTTCTGACCCCTGGTTGCTCTTCGACCCCTGGTTAATTTGTTACCTTTGCTTGCTCTTTGACCCCTGATTGCTATTATTTACCACTGGTTGCTCCTGAAATCTGGTTGCTCTTTCTGACCCTCTGGCTGCTCTTTGTAACTGACTGGTTGCCCTTTTTACTCTTTTTTCCCCTTAATGACCCCCTGCTTGCCATTTCTTTCCCTGCTTGCCCTTTCTCAGCCCGGTTGCCCTTTCTGCCCTCCTGGTTACTCATTCTGAACCCAGGTTGCTCTTTCTGAAACCTGCTTTTTCTTTTTGACATATTTTTCCATCTTTTAGACTTCAAATTGCTAGTTTTGCCATTTTTTGCTCTTTCTGACCCCTGGTTGTTCTTTCTGACCCCTGGTTGTTCTTTCTGACCCCTGGTTGTTCTTTCTGACCCCTGGTTGTTCTTTCTGACCCCTGGTTGTTCTTTCTGACCCCTGGTTGTTCTTTCTGAACCCTGGTTGCTCTTTCTGACCCCTTGTTGCTCTTTCTGACCCCTGGTTGCTCTTTCTGACCCCTGATTGCTCTTTCTGACCACTGATTGCTCTTTCTGACCCCTGGTTCCTCTTTTTGAACGTGTTACTCTTTCTGACTCCTTGTTTCTCTCACCCACCCCCCTTTTTGCTATAATACCCAGTCGCTTTAACTTCTTTATTCAACTTACCTCCCCAGGCCAGCCCTTCTCATTGTGACTAGTTTTATTACATAAACAAAAAGTTTGCCATTTTTCAAAAATATAGATGCAATAAAGACATTGAAGTTTGTATCTTTCCACCCCTCCAGAATATCGTCTTTCAAAGTGACCCCTCAGTTGAGTTCAGTCGAGTGTTCTCCCCTTGTGACCAGTGCCGTAACGTGACGCTGAGGAAGAAGTTGCGAGCTCTCACGTACAAATTCACATTGTCTATAGGAGACATCATGCCTTCTACACAACCCAGCATTGCTCGAGACGACCTGCTGAGTATTTCCTACCATCTCCAGGTAGGAGTTGACCCCACTGGGATTAGATATGCAAACCTACCAAAGAATTAAAAATGCGGGAGTTTTTTGTGTTTTTTTTGTTGTTGTTTTTTTGCAATAGTAATAATTTAAACCAAATGTTGCCCGTTTTCGTTCGGCCATATTTAATAGGCCCTATCCCATCCACCTCGGGGACTGATAGGGTTCGATATTGTTTGGTTTTTTCTGTTTCAGTTGCATTTTGTAACTAAATGTATAAATGGTTTTTTTTTTTTTTAACTATTAATCTAGAGTCGTGGGGTGTACAATGCGATAACATGAGAACATGAAAATGCCTACTCTGTCGTGATCAGTTTTAAATTTCAAGTAAAAGAAACTACGTTTTTGAGCGATTGGTTTACTTTGTTTTCAATGACTTACAGTTGCTGGTCAAGCACGAGTTCAAAGACACTTACTACAGCCTTTGCAGCAGACCTGTTGCTGTAGTGGATGACTTAAATATATGTACAGACATGGAGGGTGAGTTTATCGCGGGTGATGTTGAAAAGCTTAGAACATTTGAGGAGCTTAATGGTGGATTTCAGAATATGTCAAATTCAAATTATGAGTTGAATGATAGATAAGTTATTAGCAATAACTAATTATGCATACACTTACCGAGTTAATTTTTTCTAATAAAATCTAGGTAACTACAGTTACCTCTCATTGCAAGCTGACGACGATGTCTCTAGTGAGGAAGAGAGTGAACCTCTCATGAATGCATTCGACGCCTGCTACGTGTCTGGAAAATATGGACCCGAAGAAGATGAGATCCCCAAGTACTACGCTAGTGTGCGTCAACTGTTTACAGCGAGTTCTGAGTTCATGGTCGATTTTATTAGCAAGTACTCTTTCATGGACCTCGTTGACAAGAAGCTACCAACGTGGAGAAAGTCACCCAGGGCTCGGGTAGAAGCTGAGAGAGAGGCGGAAGAGTTCAAAAAAGCTGTGGAAAAGGCCAGAAAAGTAAATGACTTTGTGGAGATGGGTGTCAAGTCGACTCTCCGCGTCATGACGAAATGGAAGTGCAGAAAATATGTTACAAGACAGGACAGCAAAGAGTTCCGACTTTTTCTGAAACAAAATGTGCTCAAAATAATTGAATTCAAAAAGTGGATTTTGTCTGAGATCGCCACCTATTCGCCTTTAGTAGGTAATTCTTCTGAAAACTTCCCTTGCACGGGTTGTCGTCATAACGGTTTGGAAACAGAGACCTCTAAAGATTTGACCCTATCAGCCCCCAAGAAAGGTGAGAGGGCGAGTATGGGGCTAAGAAAATCACGGCTAATTTCAAAAATTTCGAAAAAAGATATTGTTCCGCCATCTTTAACTCCCAGCAACTGTGGTCAAACCTTAAACGATTTGGTCCGGTACATTTGGTTTGATGAAAAGGAAACACCGACTTCTAGCAACAACACAAGCCCTTCATCGAGCGTGCCATTTGCTGTTATATCAATCTTCCCATCAACTATCAAATCGGATCTCTCACATGGGGTTCTTTTCAAATACCCTACTGGGCTAAAGAGACATTCTTCCAGCTCCGACATTGTTGGTGCCACTGCAAACGGATCAGTGACGGAAGATGATACACCAGGCCCACCAACTGAAGCTCCAACGGATCTAGCTCGGTCCTCTCCTTGTGAAAACATCTGTGCTCCTTCGGGACTGGTTGCGCTGAACGTTATCGACAACAAAATCATCAGAAAAATATATATGACTCAACAAGTCTGGAATGTCATTCGGTCTAATGCTGTCATCAATTTCACAATTGCTCATAGTAACATCTCTGGTGGGCTGACGAATCCCACATTTACAAGTGATGAGCTTGTACGCCAGAAGAAACACATTAAGAAACCACCAGAAAAAACTGATCGGAATCTCACTCAGAAGACTCAGATAAAAGGTGCATCGAAATCTGAGACGATGGGAAAGTATCGAAAAGCAGTGTCTCCAGCCTGCAAAAACGCAGGACGTCCGGAAGATAATGCTAACGGTAAAGCCAAACAAGAACCGATAACTTCAACACGCAGTGCCGTAGCTTGCACATTGGACGGGATTGTGGGATCTTATTGTCCGCACGGAGGAGACGAGTGTAGGACTACCGCACACGTGGACACGTGCCAAAGTAATTCACAAGACAGTGATTGTAAACGGGCGTTTCATAAAAATAATTATTTACCAATATCAAAAGAAGAGTCCTGTGAAGCACACGAGTCAGATAGCATTTCAAGTGACACGGGATCGATAGATGAACTGGACACCACCACTTACAACTACTTCACTTGGAGCAAAGACATCGCTCGGGATAATAAAATCTGCGGAGCGAAGTCCTCTGATTCTGAATTATCAGATTCGCAGAAAGTTTCCTTGGATTGTGACTTGAACGTGTCAAGGAAAAAATTGGCTAAAAACACAGTCGAAGCCACATTATCTGCCAAACATGTTGATGAGAGAACTGAGATCAGAGACAATGCAGCCATGAAAGTTAAAAACACCAAAGTGTCATCGACTAATACAAAGTCCAGATTCGGGCCATTAAGTGGCGTGAAGTCCCATGCTCACAAACCAACAAATGGCAAGACATGTAAAATTAAACAGGAAATGAAATCTGGACACGTCAATGGTGTATTGTTCTCGGTACATTTAACATCTCAGGATAATGATGCCAGCGATGAATCCACAACAGAAAGTTCTTTCTTCTCATCTGGTTCCCAAATGTGCCGTCGTATCTATAGCGATAGCTGGAGTATTCCATCGAGAACAGTGTCGGAGTCTGAGGGAAAATCCTCAATTTCATGTTATCCCCCCTCTTCAGTCAATGAAACTAGTGAGAAAAAACAATTAACCACTGAAAATGGCACTCAAAATCACACTGAAACTAACATTGAAAATGACACTGAAACTAGCACTGCGTCCGCTAAAACCAAGTTAACGACATCGTGTGATCAAGAGAATCCAGTCGGTCAGAGATGGATGCAGCTCAAAACGAACAGCGCCGATAAAGGAGACAAGAAGGAAAAGGTCAAAATATCTGATCGTTTCCTGACTATGCAGAGTCGTTCTGGGAAACAGTTGGCTAAAGGCAAACGTAAAACAAAAGCTTTGGAGCATGAGGCGATCGAAACGGTTGAAGATGTCAAGTCCGATCGAATCCTAAAAAAGGAAAACACAATGCATAAAGTTGAGAACGCCCAAAACTCTAGATCTGACATCTCTCAAGACATGCAGACTAAAGTTGATTTGAGTATGTTCCGTAAATACTCGACAAAAATCTTCTTTGAGGGTCCAACTAGTGACGGTAAGTTGCCAAAACTGGCAGTTGTAACTCGTGCCAAACCAAGGTTACCAGAAGATGAACATGGAGTGCGCGAGCCATCAGTGATACGTCCGGAAACTGGAAAAAAACGATCCCCTAGGTCAATGCAAACGAGTCCTCGGTTGGAATGCAATTTCCGTGAAGCCAGCTTGGGGAAACTTGCAGAAGAGGTCAGCACTCGTGAAAATAAGGCTGCTGAACCAAATTCGCTATATAGAGTCCACTTAGAAGAATCCACAAATTCAACAGACTCTCAAAATATGGAAGTAAACCCCGACAGGACCACAGAGGAAATAGATCCTAATGTCGATAACCAGTCAAATGATTTCCCTGATGCCGTTTCGTCCTGCGCCAATAAACCATCTAGTGGAAGACTAGCGTCCCAGAGTGGGACGTGCACTGTCCTAGAAATATGGCACGAGGAGGTCGAGAAGATGTTTGATCCACTCTCTTCAGATTCTCCACCGATTTCCTACGCTATCCCGCGGACTGTTGATTCGGAAGGTCCGTTTCGCGTAACAAGGTTTGAGAAAGATCATGAGAAACTTTGGGAGGTTAACGTCATAGGTAACATGGAATTACAGCACACAGGAATCTGGAGCCACAAACCACTCAACACGTGGGCCACCATGAAGTATGGCGATGCGGCTACTGTGTTCTCAATTCCGAACTTTGAGCGACATCGCGTGTGGCGAAGCGGGCCGTTGCGAAGCAAATTAAACCCCAGAGCACCCTCTTTCGCGTGTCTGATCTCAGCCAATCAGAAAGTCCAAAAGTTACCTTCATTTGCACAGCCAAATATAACTCTGTCGAATGGGGACAACACCCACCCTGATGACACTAATCCCATCAGCGACAACACCCACCCTGATGACACTAACCCCATCAGCGACAACACCCACCCTGATGACACTAATCCCATCAGCGACAACACCCACCCTGATGACACTAATCCCATCAGCGACAACACTCACCCTGATGACACTAATCCCATCAGCGCAAATGATCACGCTTATCCCCGGTCTTAATCGCATGCAAGACTACCTATTTTTCAAACAACCTTACTTTGGGCAGTACCTCAGTGGCCATAACCTCACTGAGCAGAACTTCACTGAGCAACAAGTCGAAAACGTGTATATTGAAAATGTATCCGGGTAAAGGGTCCCATTGCCTGAAGCCCAGCAATTCAGTCGTCCGTGGGTGTCGACCCTACAAGCCCATCCACCAATAGACTTCCCACAGCCCATGCACTCGAACATTAAAGAGATCTCAGTGAGAGCTCTGTAATCAAACTAAATATAATTTGGCGTTTTGCAATTTTGCAATTTTAATTTTATACTGGGGTTGTTTCTACTTTTTAAGAAATGTTTTTTGCTATATACATAAATTTAAAACTTTTAATTTTTTGGCATTTTAACATCAGTTGTTCACAAATTCCAAAGATTTTGGTTTTTGGTAGTATACGATTATTTTAAAATAAAATTGATCATAAAAATATACATAGTTTTAGTCAGAAACTGGGTAAAACCGGTTTATATTTTTATCTTGTACAGTATTCTTGATTAATTTTTCACTTTCAAAGAAATGCCTGGTTATTTCTTAAATCTAAGATCATTTTTATGGTTTAGATTGAACATTTAAAACCCAATGACATGGGAGCATTCAATGTTGAAAACGTGGTGAGAACTGTGTTGAAAATATCAGTTCGTTTGTTATCGAGTGCTCTTTGTCCGTTGATTTTTCTTTTTTAATGTAAAAGCTTATAATAGGGAACCATTTATTTCTTTAAAAACATTTTCATGAACATGGTTTTCAAAATTTTGCTGTCGCGTTGAATGAAGAAAGTGATGCATAGTATCTAATAAATTTTAAATTTAATCTAAACTTAAATCTAAAAGTGTTTTTTTCTTCTTAATCCATTTTGTATAAAACTGCTCACAAACGTAATTTAATATAGCAGTAAAAGCAGCCTTGTTGTTGATAGGCTAAACAGGACCATTGTTGATATATGTTCACTAGCTATACGCCTACTATGTGGGCTTGCATTGGTACCCATTGAACGATGTAATGTAACATGTAACAGATGTAAAATGTTTTACTTTGGGCTTGAAGAGGAGACACGAGAATAACTGTACCCAACGGGCGTACCTTGACTAAATGCCGTCTGGTGTCAACAACTGAAAGTACACCGAAAACACTAATCACAATTTTGGTTAACAAACCCTTACTGAGAAATGGACAAGGTGTTGCCTAATGGACAAGATGTTGCCACGTAATGTCAAACGTTCTGGTTGTAACTAAAACTGTTCAAAAGAATACAAACTGTAGGTGCTAAGTTTCCAAATGTAGACGGTTGCACATAACTGTTCATATAATTGCACAGCAAGACCGAAATTCCAACGGAAAGGATGACCCAATAAAGGCTAAAAGCAGGACGTCATTTGGGTAGGGCCTTTGCCCACCTAAACCCCACACCCCCCCCGAATTTGCAGGTTTTATTTAAATTGCTATGTACTGTGGCGCCTCCAGTAATAAAAAAACTTAAAAACCCGACGAAGTTTTGGTTTTGCGTCCCCCCCCCCTTTTTTCCCCGAATAAACTGAATTGACGCCCCTGACTAAAACTCTTGTTGATTACATATTTTGAACTGTTACCCTGGTATGGTTTGAGGAATTAAATAAATATACCTAAATAAATGTAGGCCTACAAGAAGGCAACAAAAAAGCACAATTATAAGTATCTGTCTATAAGATGTGTATTAAATCCCCCCCCCCCCCATTTTTCCCCCAAATTAAGGATGCCTCCTGCAACAATGGTTTGTTTTCCATTTCAAGTCTAAATTTTTGCAAGGCACTTTTTGTGACCGGGTTCCTTGTCTTTGTTGAGTTTTCCAGTTTAAAGATGTGTATTAAATCCCCCCCCCCCCCATTTTTCCCCCAAATTAAGGATGCCTCCTGCAACAATGGTTTGTTTTCCATTTCAAGTCTAAATTTTTGCAAGGCACTTTTTGTGACCAGGTTCCTTGTCTTTGTTGAGTTTTCCAGTTTTCATACATCGCTTTGCTTCCAATACTAAATTATGAGTGAGAAACTGTTTTAGCAGTTACCCCAAAAATATATTAAGTCGACTTTTAAAAAGATTTCAATGGATGTTAACGCAATGGAGGTGACAAAGCAAGGGGGGTGGGTGGGGGGGGGCGAAGGAGGCCACGCCGTATGGAGAGGGCGGAAAATTGTTTTTCTTTTTAAAAATAAATTTAAAATATATAAATACATGTATTCGAAAATACATTTTAGTTGAATTTCTTAGGAATAAAGACAACCATTTTTGTAATAAGATCCGTATAATCACGATTATTAATTATATTTCCCCCTCCTGCTTTTAAATTCCAACGCAAAACTGACTAATTTTTTTTTTAAACGCACTTAACGGCAATGCCTTAAGCTCCGCGGCCGCGCAGCTAACTCACAGACGCCGCGCAGCAGTTTTGAGTATCCGCGCAGCAAATTTCAATGTGTGTGTTTGTGGACTGTAAAATTTTGCACACAAAAAAAAATTGATGCTGTAAAATTTTGCACTCAACTGTATGATTTTGCACACGAACCAGCAAACCTCTAGGGAACATTGTTAGGGGGGCGTCAATTAATTTCGTCAACAATATGGGGAGGGGGGGGGGGGTGGAAAGGACAGTTGTTGACAGGGGGGAGGGGCGGGAGGTTTAGATTAGTTGACGTCAACAATCTTTTTTTTTCTTCCAAATTTTAATCTTAAAAATTGACTGGTTCTTACATTATTTTAAACAATTTAATGAATGTAGATAGTCATATAATTATGTTTAGGCTTTTAACAATATAAGAGTTATTTAATGTGTGTCTTTATGTGCACGGCAGATGATTGGTCAGAATGTTAGCACACTTTGTTAGTGCAAGAGAAGTCAAAAGTTGGCATCTCTTAACCTGTCATTTTTCTCTTAATCCGCTCCCGAGAATAATAAACACATCATTGTACACGGTGTTCAATTAACACAAAACACCAACCTATCTATGTTTAATAACTACACCAACTCAAACACAGAGAGAGCTTATGGCAATTATTGATCACACTGGCACTGCTTCTATTTTAAGTGCTGAATGATTAGATAAGGAGGCTGTTGACTTGTCTGGTATATCAGTTTCGCAAGATGAAAATGATAAATCAGCTACTACAGACTATATCTATCAGGGGCGTCATTTCAGGTATTTTGCGGGGGAAGAGGGGGGGGGGGGGCAAAACCAAAACTTGGTCGGCTTGTTAAGTTGTTTATTAGTACCACTGGAGGCGCCATAGTACATAGCAATTTAAATAAAACCAGCAAAATCGGGGGGGGGGGGGGG